GCAGGGATATTTGCGCGCAAGAAAAATTCATTGCTAGATTTATAATCTGTATAATTTAGTGGCTATTCCACACAAATTTTTTATTATCTTTCTATAATTTGCAACAACATCTTGGATTATTAATTTGCTTTGAAAAATAAAAAGTCTACCTTTAAAATGTCAAAACACGCCCAAAATACAACGCATATTAAAGCTCACTATAATTAACTGGCTTTATGAAATTTTGTATACTCATTTCGAGATCCTTAATAACAGATTTGTTACTTTTAATTTACATTCCAAATATTAAAAATATTTTAAATCAAACACCTTTTTGACCATCCACATAATACTGCAATACTGTAATTGCGTGCAGCACCATAGAAACTAATCAATGTTTTTAGATGATTGTTTTTCTTTCAAAATAAAAATATGATATACCATTAAAATGACCTATGTTAAAAATATCAGAATCACATTTTTTTTTTTTTTTTTTTTTTTAATTTTCGTAACTCCAAAATCGATTATTTTTAACAAAATGGAAGACAATTTTTAAAATTTTTAGACGCCAGGCATAGTAGTTGATCATTTAAACTCACTCAGGCTTTATACAGACTAATTAACTTCTCGATTTTCATGACTGCTAAAGAACCGTAGTTTTCAGAAAAATTTGGAATTTTTTTTTTTAACATTTTGTTTCTCTTTTATTTTTGTTTTGGCTAATATATGACGCTGTAAGTATTTCATCCTCTTTTTTTTTTTTTTTTTTTTTTTTTTTTTTTTTTTTTATTATCGGTTTTATTTCGTGAATTTTAGTGTCATATTTTCAGCAGAAGGAAGAGAATATATTGGGTCATATGAAAAGTCTCCGCGGATTTTTGCACTAGGATGGTGTTGATGCCTATATATCCGGCAACACTCACCCGATAGTCTCAAACGAACATATGTTTAAAAGATGACATTCAGCTTCTACTGTTTGTGAAGATAGTTTTCTAATTCGTTGCTCGTGTAAAAAGTTATACTGATTTGAAAATGAGTGAAATATATGAAGAAACATGCTATGTGATGCTTTTTTACTATAAAAAGGTAAAAACGATGCAAAAACATGCCGAAAAATTTGTGAAGTGTACGGTGAGAATGCTGTGAGTTAACGACGGACCCAAAAGTGATTTGCTCGGTTCCGTTCCGGAAATTTCGGTATCAAAGATGCACCCTCGCTCTGGTCGGCCAGTCACTGAAAAATGTCGATGAAATTTTGCGACTGATGGAGCAAGACTGGCACGCAAGCTGTCAGGAAATAGCGGAGGCACTAAACATCAACCACATGACAGTTTGGAATCATTTGAAAAGATCAAGCTACAAAAAGAAGCTCGATGTGTTGGTGCCACATGAGGAATTGTCCATTGTGAGCTGCTGGCGAAACCATCAATTCGGCCTTGTAGTCGACCACAACTCGACCTTTTGAACGAAGCAATCCAGAAAGAGCGACCAGAATTGGCCAACAGAAAGGTTGTTGTGTTTCATAATGACAATGCGCGTCCACACTCATCTTTTATGACTCGGGGCAAATTGACGGAACTTGGCTGGAAAGTTTTGATGCATCCACCGTACAGCCCGGATCTTGCTCCGTCTGATTACCATTTGTTTCGGTCTCTGAAAAATGGATGGGAAAAAATTGGCCGACCGAAGCGCCGCTGAAAATCACTTGGACAAGTTTTTCAACGATAAACCATAGGAGTTCTGCACCGATGGGATTATGAAGCTACCCAAAAAATGGCAAAAGATCATAGATAATAATGATCAATATGTACTTGATTAAAACTGATTTTCAATAACAAAAATTTGTGTTCAAAAATGTACTAGAAAACCGCAGAGAGCTTTTATATAGCCAAAAATTTGCTCCTTGATGAAGAAGAACTCTCTCGTTGCTCTCGGAGTGTGCATAGAATATTTCTACAATATCAATGTGAATCTAAGATTGAATATTATCTGAATTTAAATTCTGTTCTAGTCATAATTAATCAACCTGCTATAGAGAGTTGTTTTGGATCATACTTTTGTGGACAAAGAGGAAATGAATTTTAACAACTATATAATTGCCAGACAGAATTAATCTCTGCGACGAATAAGACATTTTATTTTTATATATAGATTCTTTTCAAAGTTAATTAAACTAGTTTTCCAAAAGTATGTTCAACTCTTATATTTTACTGAAATTCTTCATGAAGAATAAAATGTCTAATAAATGATTTCTAATCTTCTATTAAGAATCTGCGGATGTCAAATTCAGTCTTTCAAATTCAGTGAATCAAAATATGTATTACAGCTGCAGTACGTTGGAATTTCAGTCGACAATTTAAGAGTAAGTATAGTTCTAACTTTTCTTCCTTTGATTTTAAAGGTTGTTAAACAGTTCGATAAATGACATTCCACCTTAACAATAAACCACAACATACTGATGTAATTTATAACGACGATTCAATTGTATTAGAATCGCCATTAATTTCGCAAATACGACTAAAGAATGTATTATAAATCATTTAAATTAAAAAGCTGTAAGGTTTATCCTAAGTCTCTAACAGTTATCCATAGTTAAAGGTACTTTCCTGTCCCTCCTAATTTCAGCTTACAATTTCCTACCAGAATGTGCTTTTAGAATCGTGTTTAATGCAAATCAGTAAGAGCGGTATTTAAGTCGAAGTTCCACTGACTTCGTGAGAGAGCCAAAGTTTCTGACTAGTGCACTTTCGCCTTTTGGTTACGTCTCTCTAAGCTATTACTACGCTATGCCGTATTTCAGGCCCTTGATAGCTTCGCTAGCTTATTTGATAGTTAGGGACCAAATATCAAATAAGCTAGCGAGATTCTATCTTGATAGATTTAGATCTAAAAGATTTCAATCTTGATAGCTTCGGCTATATATTTCGGCTATCAAACCAAAGTGGAGGCTTTGCTGTACGCTCTGAGAGGGAACCGACTGTTAAGTTCTTATTTTGAGAAATAAAGGGTAATTAACCCTTCTTGAGTTTTACGTTTCTGTTTCTGAACTAAAGCGATTATTCGCTTACCTGTTCACGATGTTCCTACACATTTAGCTGTTAGACAAAAGGATGGAACCCCACAAGGCATAGTTGTCGTAATAATGATACGATAATTCAGAAGTTTTAGTATTTAATTTGTCACTTGTGAAGTCTATTGTCAAGTAATTTGAAGGGGGTAGAGGAAAAGATTTTGCTATCCCGCAGTAAAAGAAGAGCAAGCAGACTATAGTATGTGGTATCGGATACACTGGAACCTCAGATCACGAAAGTTCCACTTTCTGAACCATTCGATTCACAAACAAATTATGTGAAAGAAAATACGCCTTGGATGACGAATGGTGTCTCAAGTCACCAACGCTCAAGTCGGCAACATACGATTTTCAAAGGTGTTTTGAGGTAACCTATGCTTAATAATCAACACCAGGAAATTCTGGAAACACAGCTTTAATATTTTCTCTTGCTCAGCAAAACCGGGCAGCAAGTGACATACAGGATCTTTAATTCGTCCTAGAGGAAAATATGCCCAGATTGTGTTGCAGACATAGATTGTTAGGGGTTAGCTTCCTTTTCTTATTTATGTTATTGTATCTCTAGGTAAAACTATGGCTAGGAAGTTAACAATTAAGGCACGGAGAAGTTGTTAGAGAATCATAAAAATGAGTTCAACAAGAAAGAACTACAACAATTTCAGAAGCAGCAACAAATGGAGATTGTGGAAGAAATATCTTCAGATGAACAGGAAGATAAAAAAGATCCTATTCTTCAATCCGCGACAGAACGCAAAGAACGCAGTAACGATATCATCTTGATAAAGCAGTAGCACGCTACCTACCGAATAAATATTTTCATTGACAATGTCTCACTTTAGAAACAATTTAAAATGCAAGCAATAGCAAATAATGCTGAAAGAATGAGTGACACAAAGGCCAAATGAGTCTCAAGTAGAGTCCAGTGGCGCTTAGAGACAAGCAAAAGCAAATGAAGATGCCACCTGAAGATAGTTATCTGATGTTTTCATGGAAGGGAATTTTAAATACATGTGATAAAATCTTCCTCATTATTTTCTACGTAGCCGTCTACTCTCCTTCGTTCAGATACAGTAAAATTAATTAACGAATTTAATTCATTAACTAAGGTTTCACCGTACTTGAAAATTCGAATAAAATTTCAAATTAATGATATTGCAAAATAGGGATAAGGGGGAGGGCCGTAATCAAGTTTTTGCGCACTATAATTGAATAATATCTAAGAATCTCCGCAAATTTTCTATTCCTTATGAGGAATTCTGCAGATTGCATGTAGCAGTCAAAAGCTAGGCATTGCCGTCTCACTGAACAGGAAACAAGTCTATACGACGATACACGCCCTGAGCAGAGCCCTTTTAAACAAAACTGCATTGCCTGGTGAGCTTATACAGAACAATCACAGAATAATAATTCGCTGACATCCTTGATATCCCTTAAGACTCCTCTGTGCTTGCCATGCTGAAGAATCAGCTACATGGGATTCTCTTTAAAATCGTCTGTCATTTTAGATCGGAGATTCAGAATTCATTCTGTGAGCAACAGAATAAAAACACTTATTTTCGGTGAACAGCTCTTTTGGAAACACTAACTTAATGAGTATTATAATATGTATTTAAAAAAAAACTTTTTAGAATTCAAAATTCATTGTAAGAACTGTATTCAGTTTAAGCATTAACAAAGCACTGACGATAAAACCTTAGTAGTTAAAAAATCATTAAGCACATATACTCCATATTAAATTACACTTAGTTCGATTATATACAATAGTTAAAAGTGACTGAAATTCAGTTCCGAGCACATTCAAAAACATTCAAAATCGCATCAGAGAACAAACTGATTGTCTAAATGAGAAAACTTTAAAAATCAAATTTTCTGTGCAGTGTATAACTAATTCTTAGTTTGATGCAAAATTATAATAAAAAAATATTACCATCCATGGCCATGAATTTTCAACGGCCGCTACTCCTCCTACAATGACGTGCTGAACATTCCTTCGCCTTCCTGTAAACATTTAAAACTTCTTTTATATGGTTTAAACAAAAGTGAAAGCTTTTTCATTCATATTTTATTAAAATTTCTTTCTTTTTTTATTTTATTTTGTTTTGTTAAATATAACTAGAAATGTAATCTTGAAAATTTAAAAATGCTCTTTCAAACCCAGAATTTTTATCATTCTGCGTTCTTCCTACAGGATACTTACCTTTGTAAAAGTTTGCGAGTTCTACGCTGAAGATGGGTATCATATATATATATATACAACTATCTGTAGAATGCTATTTGGTCATTAGTCATATAGAAAACAGTAATGATTTTCAATATAACACAAATTTGCAGTGGAGCTTTACATTATAACTAGTACCTAGACCTATATGCACTGCATTTATATTGCTTTTGTTTGTAGTATCTCGCATGTTATGCTACACGTTCCTCTCTCATTCAGATTACATTCAATCACGTTTCACTATGATTCAAAAATATTCTGCTTACTCTATTTTGAACTTAAAACATTTCTTTGCCTCTAAATAAGAATTTAGAACGTATTCCTTCCTGTTTATTCGTATCTTCCCTTAGAACATTGTCACATAATGTCATGTGTTTGCTTAAATGGCCACTAAATATTTTCTTTTACAAGCAAGAATCTATAATTTGATATACTACAGTACCTTGTTATCATCAGTTCGTATATCTGAGTAGAATGCAATACCTTTTATCCTAAGAGTTTTGAGACAATTACAGATTTCTTCAAAAGTATTAATGAGGTTAGCTCAGTTGCAGTATTAAAATAAAAATTTTTGCTGAACTTTACAGCAAGTGTTGCTTTGTGTTCCTTCAGTTTAAAAGACAGGAAAGTTACCAGCATTTGAGCAGTGGCATATATTAAATAGTTACAGACGATAAGAAGAGATTTCAAGAATTTCTTCTTGAAAGAATGAACAGAGTTTTCCTCAGTTTAGATTTTAATTACAAATTTAAGTGGTGAGGGATTGCCATTAGGAGATATACTTTTACAAGTTTAACTCCCCTACTGTCTATGGATGTAGAAGTCATACTTAATGTATAACGTTGCGCGCCTCTAACTAGCACGCAACCAAGAGGTGACTGTGAAAGCTTGTATAAACCACAGAGTCTTATAAAGGGTTTAAGTCCCTTTTTATTCAACGTAATAAATTACAATGGCATCCTCTTGACGCTTACAGACTGTGCCCACTAGGCAGTCAAATAAAAATAAGAACCTGAAAAGAAATTAAAGACAATATTCTAACTACGAGGCTCTCTCAAATAACTAACTCACCGCGTTTTACAATACGGCTGCTAATTCAGCAGACTTGAAGCTCACTGGAACAATTGCAACTACTTCTCGCCAAGCACATAGGCCGCAACGCGGGGTTCTTCAATTCTCGATTTCTACCTCCGCGCTCGCTAAGTAAGAATAACTCTCTCACCGAACTCGTTTCCTTCTATTTAAATCATACTACTTCCGCTGATAATTTGAATGCTTGCGCGTTCTACTCAAATTTACATATTCTGGCATTGGCAGTTCCAGGGGAAAGTAAGGCTTGACAGGAAAGATAGTTTAAACTTAAAATAAATGTTAGTTAAAATAAATATAACCCTACATTTGCCGCTGCCAGAATTTGGAAAACTTGGAAGCAGGTCCTACAAACGACCTGTTGTAAAGTTTATCTAATTCTGAACTAACTGGCGAAAGCCTCGTTTACACAAAAAAAAATCTTATGTAACAATTATATATTAAAATTTTGTTACTCGTTACAAAGCTTTCTTCTTACAGCAACTTTTCCTGGACTTCATCAATCAAATCTTGGTTCTTTCCTTCCAGCATCTGGAAGGAATAAGTATCAGTATCTTTCTACAATACATTATAATTTACACTTTCTTGACACAATAAATTTTTGTTTTTAACGATTTCGTTTTTCTTAGTTATTGCTTACTTCACATTCATTCAATTTTTCAAGCATTAATTTAACTTTACCCTGGCTCTCCACCATGTGTGGTGTCAAACGGGAATATTTGTGTTTTAGTCTTACAACACTTCCCCTAACCACCATGATTTGTTAGAATTCAACAACCAAATAGACCCACCTTACTCGACATTCTACAACTCAATGAGCTACTTTAATATTCTTAAAAATTCAAATGTAGGTGGAGAACCCTACAAAACACATTCATTCTAACTTCCCCCTCATTCATCTTTAAACATGCAGGCTTTCGCTCTAAAGCATGACTTTACAGTTTAATACTTAATTTTGACTTCATTGTTTTTAAGCATTCACTTTTAGCATCTACAATTTTATGCTTCTAGACTAAATTCTACTTTTACATAACATGCAAGTATTTACATACATTTACAAAAGTTTAATACATTTGCTTTTTACAATTTACCATAAAATGAATAAGAGAAAATAAATTTTTACTTTACTCATTCTTCGCCAAGCTGGCGGCACTGAAACTAAAATTCTTATTAGTACAAGAATACGAAGTTTATTTTTATCTTCCGGCCAAATTTTGGCTTTAACATAAACAGAATTAGTCTTTCGACCAACAGAAAATGCTTGTTTTTAGCTTTTACACTTAAAGAAAATAACACTTTTGCCTTAGCTAAGTAAAGTAAAACAAAACTAAGTCTCAACCGAGACATATTGACTTTCGTCAAAACATAGAACTTCGTACTTATGCATAACATTTCGGAACAAAAGAGAAAAAAAAAATATAGAAGGTTTTAACTTATCTTTGAGTTTTCGATGCTTGAAACTCCGTCATCCGTTTTTGACAAAATTGATCCCAAGTTAGAGGTGTCATTGATGTCACCTCTAACTTGGATGATCTTCTCCTTATTGATCTCCGAGTGTCGTTCCCCGTTGCTCTTTCTTTTGCGTCCTCTACATGCTGGCCTCTTGACGGAGTAATCGTCTGGTTGTTGGCCTTTGCGTTTCTGCCTGGGACGGCTGGTCTTGACGTCCTCCGGTCTGGAGTCCTTGAATTTCTTCTGTTCGTCGTATTTTTGTGCCTCCTGTTGGCGTTTCAGTTTCCGGAACGGCGGCCTTGCTGGCACCTGACTCTGTGGCCGTGTGCGCGTTCTCCTTGATGTGTAATTTCTCCTGCCATCTTTTGTAGGTGGTGTTTTCGTCTTTACCACGGTTTCTTTACCCGGTTCATCTGTATTTTGTTTTTCTTACACGCCGGAGTTTGAAACTCATTTTTTCTTTTTGATACCGACGTCCGGGTTGTAGAAGTGCTAGGTCTCTCTTCAGTTCTCCGTTTCTTGGGTGGTGGAATAGTTGTTGCAGTCTCTGGCCCTTCTATTTCGTTTAGACTTGAGTCCTGCAAGAAACTTTTAAGGATTTCAAATCAATTAGTATTTTTTCACCTGGTCGGGACTTGCTTTACAGATTTCCCCTCTCTCGTTTTTAAGATATAAGACTACTGCTTTGATTTCCTGAATTACATAGGGGCCTTCAAACTTTGGAGCTAGCATTGCCATAAAATTGTCTGGGGCACTTGATAAAGAAAATTTCCGTTTCAATACTTTATCCCCAACTTTAAAATCTGCTTCACGGCGTTTTCTATCATAATATAACTTCTGCCTATTTCTTGCCGTATCCGAGGTTTTAAGCGCCTGATCAATTAGCTTTTGCACGTCCTTTTGTCTAAATTCCTGCTCTCTTTGTTGCACAAAGAATAATTTATCTAAAGGCGTAATTAACTTTCTGCCTAAAAATAATTCTGCTGGAGTTTTTCCCGTAGTATCATGATGTGCCGTTCTTAAAGCATAAGCTAATTCATTTATGTAGCCATCCCAGCGCTTGTGATTTGTGCTAACGTAACTGCGAATTATTTTTACAATGTTTTTATTAACTCTTTCTGCTATCTTAGCCTGTGGTCTATACGGAACCATTTTGATATGGCGTATATCAAGTCCATTGCATATGTTTTCAAATATTTGACTAATGAATTGTTTTCCGTTATCGCTAATGACTTTTATCGGTGCACCGTATTTTAAAATGTATCTGTGTAAGAATGCATCAGCGACTGTTTTGGCTGACGCGCGTTTAAGTGGAACAATTTCTATCCATTTTGAAAAATGATCTACTATTACTAAAAGAAAACGATTTTTATTTAACTCGCTCTGGGGGAAGGGACCAAGGAGATCTATGCCTAAAATTTCATTCGGAAATGTAGCGCGAATGCTATTTAAGTACCCGGCCGGGCTGTAATTAATATCATTTATTAACTGACATTGATTGCAGGACCTGACATACGCCGTTACTATTTTGTATAATTGCGGGAAATATACCGCCTCGCGTACCCTTTTTATAGTCTTCCTGACCCCGAGGTGGCCCGCTGTTTTTTTTTCGTGCAACTCCTTCAAAATGCTTAATCGAAGCGAGGCTGGGATGACTGGCTTATACTCAAGATTTTCGTTTGTTGTTTTCGTATAGAATAATAAATTATCTATTATTTCATAGTTTTTTGCTCTATTTCTTATCGCATCGATATCTGTGTGCTCAAAGCTTTCGGGGTCTTTCAAATAAGCATAGATATTTCCAAATTCAGGATCAGCTTTCAGTTCAGTAATAACCGTATCTCTAGAATCTAAAATTTTTGAAGTCAACACAGCGCATTTAAGTTCATTTCCTTCATCGTCCAGTTTTATACGAGAAAGTGCGTCAGCTACATTGTTTTCCTTACCCGGTTTATATTTTATTGTGATATTATATTCTTGGAGTTTTAAAGCCCATCTTATTAACCTTAGATTTTTCCCCGAGTAAAGTCTACCAACAGCCGCATGATCCGAAAAGACTGTTACTGGCGATTTGCCGAAATAAACTCGAAATTTGTGTACAGCCATTAATACGGCTAATGTTTCTCTTTCTGTAGCTGTATAATTCCTTTGTGTTTGATTCAATGTTTTACTAAAAAATGCCAGCGGATGGTTATTTTGCATAAGAACCGCACCCACCGCATAGTCTGATGCATCTGCCGCAATTTCCAGGTTTTCGTCCCCCTCAGGGAATTTTAAAACAGGGGCATTAATAAGCGCTTCTTTTAATCTTTCAAAAGCTGTGTTAGCTTCAGCTGTCCACGTAAATTTACTCTTTTTTCTTTTGATTACTAATACAATTATATTAGCGAAATATTAGCGACAATATTAGCGATATTGTTCAACAATATTAGCGAAATCTTTTATGAAAGATCGATAGTAAGAACATAGTCCAAGGAAAGACGAAAGTTTCTTGGCGGTGTTGGGCGGTGGGAAATTCTTAATAGCTTTTATTTTTGAATCTTGCGTTTCTATACCCTTTTGCGAAATTTTATAACCGAGATATTTAAGTTCTTTAGTTGCGAACTTGCATTTTGAGGCGTTAATTGTAAGACCGGCCTCTTTTAATAATTTAAAAACTTGTTCGAGGTCATTTAATGTGTTGTTCCAAAGTACTACTCGTTATAATTATATCATCTAGATAAATTAAAGTCGATTTTCCTAGGACAGGCTTTAGAACAATGTCCATAGCTCTCTGGAATGTTGATGGGGCCCCACACAACCCAAAAGGCATGCGTAAAAATGCATAAGTGCCCGATTTTGTTATAAACGCGGTTTTATGTATATCTTCGGGTCTCATAGCTATTTGATAGTAGCCAGACGTTAAGTCCAAAGTAGACATATATCTTGTCGATTTGATCTGTCTAATGATCTCGTCTATAACCGGCAAAGGGTAAACTGGGAATTTAGTTATGCTATTTAGTTTTCTATAATCGATAGCAACCTCCAAGCCCTTTTATCCGAAGGAGGAAACTCGTTCTTTTTTCCTACATAGTACGACTGGACTCGCGTATTCACTATTTATGGGCGTTATTATTTTTATTCTTTAACATCTCCTGAATATGTTCTTCGATGATTAAGTCTTTTTGTTTATCATAGCGATACGGTTTAGTCCTACAAGGTTTTTCGGCATTTAATTGAATCTTGTGAGTCACGATCTGACAGTTTCCCGGTTTTTCTGAAAACAAATGAGAAAAATTACTCACCACTTGCTGTATGCTTTACTTTCCTGGTCATTCAGATAGGCTAAGGTCCAATTCAGGTGTCTCCACAGGTTCCACCACCCTCTGGTCCATCTCCAGCACCACGGAACTATCTTGAAAATTTAATTTTGGCCCTCGCGGCCCTTAAAAAGTCCATACCTAAAATAAGAGAGTGTTTGGAGGTCTTTCACCACAAAAATTAATACTTTGAGATTTTCCTCTTTTATCTGTAAGTTTAATGATACTTTCCCGATGCAGTGACATGTTTTTCCTTGCGCCGCTATAATTTCCGTATTTCTGGTTTTGAATAGTCGTATCCTATAAAAAATTCTTTTTGAAAACTTTTCACTCATGAAATTTCCTTCTGCTCCTGTATCGATGAGGGCTTCTACTGGTACATCGCCAACCAGGACTTGTATAATTGGTAGCTGTGAGTTTTTTACGATGTCTGTATTTAGATGTCTATTTGAGGGTTTTTTCTAAAACTTCCGGGGTCTGGACCCTCCCTTTCACAGGCCCCTCTAGTCGTTTAAAGCTTTCCTTTCAATCTGTGTCTTCTGGGTACGCGGATGCTTATTTTCAAATTTTCTTTTTGGGCCTTGACCTTCGAGTTTCGATGCGTTAGCTTGATAGTTCTTTCCCCCATATGAGCGATTTCCATTTCTGGTTTCCTCCTTCCTTCTGGTACTTTGAGAATATGTTTCCCCTCTCGCTCTTTCCGCTATTCTGCGATTTTGAAATTTCACCGCCAATTCGAAAAGTTCCTGCAATGTGGTTGGGTTTCTAATTTCAAAGTAGTCTTGAACAGGGGTAACAAGGGGTAACAATCTTGGTAATATTATTTCAATAATCTCCGCATCGAGTTTCTTGCCATACAGCATATCCGTTAGCTTGATTTTTCGTAAAATAAAGTCCGTCAATTGTGCTGTATCCCGTTGATAGAAACTATATAGCTCGGCTTCCAGCCGTGCGCGATCTTTCACTATGGGGAAGGCCTTTACTAACGATTTTTTGAAATTTTCAAATGTATACGTCGGGCTTCCAAATTCACCTAGAAGAAATTTGCCTATATTTTTCCACCATAGCGCGGCCCTGTCCTCTTAGTGCTGATGTGGCGATAGGCAACTTTTTGTCTTTCAGGCACAGGATAGAGCTGAAAGTGGTTTTCTATACCTTCTAAAAATACGGACACCGAATTTTTTCCGTCGTCGAAATAGACGTTTGGCTTGATTGATGCTCTCAAAGTCTGGACCAGGTATCCAAATCCTTCTAACTGAGTTGTCATTTCTTGGTGTTGTCCAGCGGCTTCCATCCAGTTTTCGGCCATTTCAGTTCGATAAGTGTTCGGGCGCCAATATAACGTTGCGCGCCTCTAACTAGCACGCAACCAAGAGGTGACTGTGAAAGCTTGTATAAACCACAGAGTCTTATAAAGGGTTTAAGTCCCTTTTTATTCAACGTAATAAATTACAATGGCGTCCTCTTGACGCTTACAGACTGTGCCCACTAGGCAGTCAAATAAAAATAAGAACCTGAAAAGAAATTAAAGACAATATTCTAACTACGAGGCTCTCTCAAATAACTAACTCACCGCGTTTTACAATACGGCTGCTAATTCAGCAGACTTGAAGCTCACTGAAACAATTGCACTACTTCCCGCCAAGCACATAGGCCGCAACGCGGGGTTCTTCAATTCTCGATTTCTACCTCCGCGCTCGCTAAGTAAGAATAACTCTCTCACCGAACTCGTTTCCTTCTATTTAAATCATACTACTTCCGCTGATAATTTGAATGCTTGCGCGTTCTACTCAAATTTACATATTCTGGAATTGGCAGTTCCAGGGGAAAGTAAAGCTTGACAGGAAAGATAGTTTAAACTTAAAATAAATGTTAGTTAAAATAAATATAAACCCTACAAATGTATAGAGATTTTTTCACACATAAGTGATTACGTTTTGAGCTTAGACAAATATGAGTTCATTCAAGACAATTCATATTTTTTTTATGAATCCTGAATTTATTTTAACGCTCCTTTAATATTTTTTAACAAAGGAATCCCAGATAATAAGTGAAAACAAGAACTTCGTAAACAAAGAATAGATATGATTTTAGGTTATTATTATGTTGGGCTTTAAAGCCTAAAGCAAAATATTACTCATAAAGTCGCTTAAGCATGCAAGTATTTTGGTGTTTTCTCGCAATAATTCTCTTCCCTAAATGACGAAAACTTTCTATCTCAATTTTCAGGTTATTTTGCAACATTCACATGTTAAAGACTTGAAACAATTTCTCTGTAACTGAATTTTGCATGCAATCCTATCAGACGTTCGGTAAGTAATTGCTTTTCAGCGGGCGATTGGCTTCATGCTTGCTTTAAAAGATTCGAACTCTTAATGTCACGGAGAAATGAATAGAAGTATTGTAGAAAAAGGAACTGTTCAGTTTGAGAATAAAAATTTCCTGAAAGCTGTCGAGTTAATACAGTGAAAAAAATTCAGTTTACAAAGTATGGATTTTGTATGAATTTTGCCATTTCATGAAGTCCCTTTCGTTGCAGAAAACTGAAGAGTTCCAGACCGTTGACCAGCAATTGCCCTACTTAAGAATCTCTGCTTTTAATTATTGCCACTTGAAATAAACATAAACAAAAGAATTGTATTTTTCTTATTGTGGATAATGACGATTAATCACTGCACTTGCGTTATCTTTCACCATTTGAGCTTATAAGGAAAATACTACACTCGCCATCTAAAATGCATAATATCCTTGGCTTCCAGGAACAAGGAAAGTTAAACAAATTTGAGAAAGCTTCTAATTTGTTTACTTAGACTATAGCTTAACATCTGAAAAACTAATATAAAATCATTAGCTTTGAAATGAAGTGCTTTGTTAATTATTTGAAAGACGAATTATTTGCTGAATTCAAAAGGGACCTTTTTCCTTTATGACGAGAAAATAGACTTGCTCTTCTACTGCCCCCTTTGAAATTTGAAATACGCAAATCGATCAAAAATTTTAAAATTGAATTTTGTCTAATAATAAAATATATTTATTTCTGCGTATGTATTTATAGATAAAAAATTAAAATAAAACTTTTTTATAGTAAGAAATAATAAATGAAGAGATTTTCAGTATTTTTTTGTGATAAACTTTTCGATTAAAGTCTTCGCTCTAAGAGATTATTATAACAGTCCCTGTATATTTCATCAAAAATTCTGTTGTTAGTTATGTAAACCTATTAAGACACCTACGCTCTAGCAGTAAACTGCATTCACTTCTCAGTATGCTTTGATATCAGTAATCTGGCAACTGTTTTTTTTACTATGTCTTTCTTTTTGAATAGAACAAGAAACTGCTTTCGTATACTTCTTACACATTGTATCGCACAGCTCTTATACACCGCCTTATTGGCAGAAACTTCCTACTGTGATAAGATACCAGTTTTTGTTGTTGTTGTTGAATGAAAGCCAACGAAATTTTACTCTGCGAAGAATCTCGTGAAATAGTAATGCCTGCTTCAGGTGCAAATGCATGATTAATAACCAAAAGAAGAATTTAAACCATCTATAATTCGTCTTACTCAAATGATGTCTAGTTATAACTGCTTATAGGTTTCATCATCATAATTTTTACCTTACTAAAATACTTCGTTAATTTTACTCACTTGAAAGACCAATATATTCTGGATTGAAGATGGATCTCTTTCCTAATCGACGAGAAAACAGACCACCTCTTCTTCTGCCACTGGTGTCGGCGTTATTAGCTACTTTGTCTGCATCCGGATCTTTGGGAGACCGAGTTCCACAACCTTTAAAAGACATAAATAAATAATGTTAAGTTGCTTCGTAAACATTCTTTTTTTTACAATACTTTCGATCTCTTTTTTTTTTTTTTTTTTTTCCCAGCAGCACTTCGATTTGGGTATTTTTATTATAGGTAAGGAATATACTGAAGACTTTATTTTATAATAATCTGTTTATTTTAAATTTAAACATGCAATTACATATCTTGGAATCATTTTTATTCAATGCTATAAGGCATATGTAAGGTGTATTAAGAAAATTCAGGAACACTTTTAATAATTCATGATGAAAAGAGGACAAATACCACGATCATGTCCATACCTCTTGGAAGAAAATATACGTAAATTTTCACACTGCAACGTAAGGTGTGTGTGATTATGGCAAAGCCTCGAGGGCTATCTGCCTAAGGGGAGGGATGCCTTCGTGGAGGACTTTCTAAGGGAAACTGGCTCGTATACACGTTATACATGGGGAAAACCACGAAAAACGCCCATGCAGCCAGCCCGTTCGCGGGATTCGAACCTCGGACCGAACTACCAGTGTTCAGCGACTTTACCTTTACCGCTCGGCCGCTGGTGGGCCCGCAACGTAAGGAATTTAAGTGCATTTAGATTGGAGAAAAACAGCAGGCTCTCTCCAGAAAGGATTCATCGAGAATCATTCTTGTATTGAATCTTGACTCATAACTGGAGAGGAAATGCCTCCATTTTTTACATGTCCAAAGGTAGTGTGCCTAGCTCGGGTTCTCTTTTGCGAAGGGAACATGTACAACACGCAGGTCGCCGGCCTAAAAGGCTTATTTTGAAGTTAGTATGTATACAGTATGTTTAAAAGTTGTTGTTTCAGACGAACCAGCAAGGTTCTGAGGGAACTCTTTAGCAGTAATCTGTTTATGGTGGGTAAATGAGATGTATCGATCTTCTTGATGAATCATGACTCTTAGACGCGTTGGCCAGGCATAACTTTATTCGTGATAAACCATTAAGGGATTTCTATTTGAGACTGGCTAGCCTCAAGTCTTCCGATGGCTCTTCATCTCTATTTAGCGTCTAAACAATTGAGAGAACTAATTTTAAATGAAGTTAAAAATGCTTGTGGTTTTGTTTATCGAAATGCAATTCTATAGACGAATTTCACAGATTTGGAAATTGGTCACTTTTATATTTTCTTAAAAAATATTCTTTAATCCTTATAATAACTATAGATGCTTACATTACAATTACCATTCCTCAAATTATATACGATGTCAATTTTTAAAATATTAATGGCAGATATTTTTCTATTGTTAAAAATATATTTGTAGCTGTAATTTTGGACATCGGCATAAATAATTTCAGTTATCAATGAAATCTATACAGATAGTAGTCTGGTTATACTCTTATCTGGTTATACTATGGCGTTATACTCTTGGTTCAACTTTACTTGATTCCAAAGGCCTGTGTTTTTTGCATAATTCTACATATGCCTGATATGGTCAGATGAAAAACAATCTAACGTTTCGGAAGTTAAAAATTTGCTATGTGTCCCAGTTTTCGTGAAACTTTTCTTCTAAAAATTAATAAAATGATGTCGAAAAATGAACAGAACAAAATTTTAGAAAATTTAACAAGTGCAACACTTTCCGACAGGTGGTTCAACGTTATCTTGGAACCTTTGCATTATAACAGCAATCTCCGTTATCCGGCCTATAAAAGGGGCTACAGATTACTGAATAGGTTTTATAAAATTTTGGTTATTGAATATTGGATAGTTTATAATTATTAATAAAATATTACTTACTAGAGATTTACTACCAATAGTTGGTTATTAATTATATAAATATTATTGGAAAACGTTAATATAGTAATTAGCTATTCATCTTACGGAATATTCAGAAAAGGTAACCACCTTTTGAAATTTGTTTCTTTGCACATTTATCCTAGACGAGTACATCTAATTGCAAAGTTTTTTAAAATTAAGAAGATGGTTTAGAAAGTTTTATCACTGTCAGTGGGAGCATTCTGTAAACATAAAAGTTATTTTTTTACATGATTCCATATAAAGTAGTAAGTTGAATCAATAAAATATTCACTATGTTTTTATAAATTAAAACAAGCTGTTTCGTACCTCTGCTGGCTAAGCTTTCAGGAAAGAACAGTTTACTAAATACTAAACAAATTTGAATGTTTGTCGCCAAGAGGTAGGGAGAAACTGGGAACATAGCTGAGTATATCTCAGCGACCTATGCATGATAAATGAGAGCATTTTGTATTTCAATTATTAAACCAAAATGAAAATTTTAATAATTTTTTTTCAGTTTGTTTAGAACTTATTTTTAAAAATTCTTCAAACGCATTTGCTGAAAAGTTTTCATAAAATTCTTTATCTTGTTTTGAAGAGCTCCATTACTGGAAATAAGGATCAGTATAAGAAAATAAAACCTATAGTCGTGTTTTTTGGACATCTACAAAATATTGTTTTACAGGGATATATGGTATTTTGAAGTTTTAGGAAGTAGTCCCCTCTATTCCGTTGCAGGTAGCAAGAATCAGATGCATTAATTAGCATCGTAATACACCATATATGTATACATGCGTATATAGCAGTGTAAAAACTATTTACATTTTTGGGGGGAGAAAGACAGCAAAGTGCGCTTTGAAAAAATGATGCTAATTGTTAAAAGAAAAGAGTATTAGCTGAGTTTCTTGTGCCCGGTTTACGATTCAGAAGTGAAAAGGTAGTGCTTTGTTGATGTTTTATACTGTTACAAATGTTGTGAATAGTTTTGGAAATAAGTTTTCTGTTGTTTTCTAATGTGCTGATAATCGAAAGAGAATCGGCTATTTCCATAAAAGGGCTTTATTTTGTAGCATTTGTATTTTATATACAAATTTGTTTTTCAAAACACACCCATATGGGAAAAATATTACTTTCAATTGATTTCATTTCAACAAACTGCAGTGCATTATTAACTGCCACTCTATTAACAGAAAAATCTTCGCTACGAATTAAGATCTGAAAAGATATGGCTTCTAAAACTCTGGAGAATTTTACTTTCCTATCGTCTTTCATAGTGTAATAAAAAGGGAGAAGTAGTGAAGCAAGTATATGGAAGTTTTGCTCGAAAAACTAAAAATTTCATCTCATTAAAACCCTTTAATGCATGAAGATGCAAAAGTTGGGAGCTTTGGTTACTTTAAATACGGTAATAACACTTTTTTATCATTTTAATCCAAAGCTCGGTATTTGTTTAAAATTTCTCTATAAACATGACACCAAAGCATTATATTATACAATTTTAGACAAGCAGATTTATATTCTTTTTATTATTTCAGTTTTACAACATGCATTTAAGAAATCGTCAAAAGCAATCTTTCAATATACTCAATTATCACCATTAGGTTCTTCCACTTCATTTTTAAATAAAGAGGTATGAATATTTGCCAAATTTCTCTTTACAACTGTTTTCGCGTTATACGGTATTTGAAGGAGTTGCTTAGATGATAACAATTATTCCCATGTTTTCAACTAAAGCGAACTTCATTTATTTAGTTCTATACAAATCTCAAATCCGTAATTTCGATGTAAACATACTCTATAATAATGTAAAATTTTAGAAAATACTGTTATCGTCAATAAATATTATAAAGTTAATTACTTCAAATTTTAATATATTTTTTATTGATTCTGGTAGATTAACAATTATTAAATGCAAAAAATATTTTAATAATATTCATTTATATAATTTTTAATTAAGAATAATTGCCTTTTAAAGCAAAAATATTTGTTGTTAGGTATTTGCTTGGAACACAAGCCTTATGGGCTCAAGTATTTTTAGCGCAATAAATAATCTTTCTTTTTTTAATTCCTTTGTCGAAATTTCTTTAAACTTTTATTTGTCCGTAGCTAGTTTCCAACATCTTATGTTTTGTTGAAAAATCATCTTTGGTCATTAAAAAACAATGGTGCGAAACAGTGATTGGAGGGCGAACAAGTAAAAGATTTTGATATTCCTATTTAACTTCAAATGAAGTGAGAAAGTTTTTTAAAAATCGTCATTAATCTTTCAAAGACTTATTTTTAGATTAAATAACAATTTACCGTATTAGATTATCGTTTCAAGCATTTTGAATAACTTTGTTTACATAGCCGCTGATTTAAGTACTGCGATTTAAGTAAGAAGATATGAAGTGGTTTTGTTCTTCGAACTTACCACGAAAGGTCAAGTCAATACCACGAATGTTGTCAGGCTTAGGCTTCGGTTGACTTGGTCTTCTTGTTTTCGGTGGCAACGTCGTTCTGATTGTAGTAGTTACTTTCCTCTCATCCAAGCAGCAGACAATTGGATCAAGGCCTATCCTGCATGTATGACGCGTAGGTCTTTTGCAATCGGATCGCTTTTTACAGAAGCCCTGACGGCGACGGTAAGAGCAGGGTCGGTCAGAGCCTTGCAGTCTAAACGTCCTGGAGAGCTCATCTGAATCTTCCTCATCTTCCTCTTCTTCAACGGAATCTTTTTAATAAGGAAGATACTGTTATCATAAGGACTCGGAAAAGCTATAGTGTATGTAAATAAATTAATATTATGGTTAAGACGGAGACATTGGTAAGAAAGATCATTGAGTATTTTTGTATTTAGTGGGAGAAAATTATGTTAAACACTTACCTGATATGTGAATTATAAACAGCATAAATAACAAAAAAGGTAATATTCGCAATGAAATTTTCATTGCAGTAACTAAAAGAAAGAAAATGAAATAAGTTCAACATGAAAACAACGAAAAATATAGCAATATTTTTTTTCACATAGAGAAGAAATACTGATACTATGCATACTGTAAAATAATGATGGTTGACTATCGCTCTTCACAATAATGCCTTTATCTCTGAAGTTACGCATTTTTTGATTTACGTAATATTGGATTTGCATAAGTAAGCTATGCAACTGAATTTCTCGATTTAAGATGAATTTTTGACGAAAGATTAGAACTTGAAAAAAAATCACAGGATTTTTTTTTTTAAGTTTTGAGAAAAATAAATGACGAAATAACTAGGATTGCAAAAATATTCAAGTGGCATAACCCTACAAAATCCTACGTAATGATTCCCTTCAATTAAAAAATATTTTTAAACCGAAAGTAATGTTTTTAATATATTTTACATTGGTTTAAATGTAAGGCATATTTTTCATATGATGCTTCTCAGCTACATCCTACAGCTAACGTCATCATTTAATTTTCAGCTTCTATCCCCTAATAGTAAATTTGTCACGTGAAAGATGTACTTTACACCTGCTCTAGAACAAAATCATGAGGCTGTATTAATGGTGTTAAATATAATTTCATATGAGTTTAATATCTAATTTTTTTATGACTGTATGCAGTAAATTTTACCCTCACTTTCCAACGCATACCTAAATTTCAAAGCATTCGTTTTGCATTTTTCTTGAGCATTAAATTGGAAAATAGTACATAAATAATAACATTTACAAGGTTTACTGAAAATATTTTTCCGATATGGAAAACGTTCAATTCTCATAGTTGTTATTGCCGAATTGGAAAATCACACAGAAATGCATGGTCGCAAATGCTTTCCTGGCGCGATAGTGACGACACAAAACACCAGAAAGGATGAATATAAACAGGGTGAGAAAACATGTTTATTATGCTCAGTGCAGCTAAAATGTTGGGAATGTTAAAATTTTGCATATATTAACAGTCTTGATGTGCGTCTCCACCTGAAAACAACGCGTGCTTAAACTCTGGATCGGCAGGGGTGCTCCGATGCATTGGCCAGCAAGATCGCTACGCCTCACTTGCATTGACTACTTTCTCTGGGGGTACGTCAAGGCACTGGTGTACAAAACCCCAGATGACAGTGCTCAGGAACTTGTTGCACGTATCATGGCAGCTGCTTGGAAGATCCGGGATACGCCAGGTATTTTTAAATTTTGAAAAGCTTATAACAGAGAAGGAGAAGCAAAAAATAGGTTGTCTATTGATTTTTTTCCTCATTGGACTTAGCATCAGGTTCTTGGCATATAAAATTAAATGAAAAAGATACTGAAAAATTGCTATTTACAATAAATTTTGTTCTTTATGAATTCACTCGATTACGTTTTGGATGGAAAAATTCCCCAGCTGTTTTTCAAAGAGCTCTTAGACAAATTTTAAATAAATATCAAATTCAGTTTGCTTTAAATTATTTTGATGACATTATCGTATTTCTCCAAATTTTGATGAACATCTTAAACATCTTAAGATAATATTTGACATATGTGAAAAAAAGATATAAAAAAAAAAAAAAAAAAAAAAAAAAAAAAAAAAAAAAAAAAAAAAAAAAAACTTTAAGTGTGATTTTGCTAAAAAAATTAATTTTCTAGGATATAAGGTTCAAGCAGGAAATATCAACCTAATAATGCAAATATTCAGGTTATTAAGAAATTACAACCCCCTAAAAATATTAAAGAATTACAAAGAGTTTTAGGAAATATAAACGTATACCATAAATTTATTCAAAATTGTGCAAAAATTAGAGCTCCTTTAACAAATTTACTTAAAAAAGGTACTGCTTATAAATGGACTAATGAATGTCAAACAGCTTTTAAAAATTTAAATGATGCATTAATCTTATGACCCATTTTAACTTTATTTAATCTAAAATATCAATGTCATGTACTTGTAGATGCATCTAAAGAAGCTGTTCGTGCAGTTTCAAAACAAGAACATCCAAATGGTAACGTATATCCAATTGCTTTTTATTCTACGAAATTAAGGTTTTATGAAAAAAATTATGCAATTACTGGTATTTAGCTCTTATTGATACCATAGATAAACATTTATTATTATTTACATGGTAATCAATTTACTTCAATTTACTGTACATACTTATCATGCTGCTCTACTTTGGATTAAAAATATTAAACATCCTAAAGGTAGATTATTTAGATGGTCTCTGAAATGATCTATGTATGACTTTGATATTAAATATAAAAATGGTTATACTAATGTTGGAGCTGACATATTAACTAGAAATCCTATCTGTCAATATTTGAGTTTGCAAGTTAATTTACTATCATTAGAAGAAATTAAAGAACATCAAAATTTAGATTATATTTCTAACCCTAAGTATAAGAAAATTAATGATGTGTTAACTATTAAAAAACAAAGACTATATAAAATAGTAATTCCAATATCTCTTCGTACTAAAGTACTTGAAAAATCTCACATTAAATTTGGTCATACTGGTGTGTCCTCAATGTTAAATTTATTATCTCCTCAATACTATAGGCCAGGAATTGTTCAGGATGTTAGAAATTAATGCAAACATTGTGAAATATGTCAAATTAACAAAAAGAGTAAACAAAAGGAATTTGGTTTTATGCAGTCTTTACTATCCGTTAGTGAACCCTTTTTAAATATTGTCTATTGATACTGTTGGTGGATTAAATTATTATGATTCTACTAAAAAGTATTTTCATATTATAATCGATCATGTTACTAGGTATAGTATATGGACTTTTGCTTCTAAAAGTATAACTAAGTAAGAAATTTAGAACTAATATTTCACAAAAACCAAAAACTTAAATTTATAATTAATAAATTTCAGATATGTGAAATATTAGTTCTTTGTGAAAAACATGTGATATATTAGTTCTAAATTTCTTAGCACTTATCTCTCTGTCTCTTTATATATAGATACATATAAGTAGCATTTATCTCTCTCTCTCTGTGTATATATATATGTATATATAAAGGCAGCGATTTTGCTATTAAATAAGTACAATGAAAAACAAAGTAACATACCAAAAAAAGTTTTGTAACCTATCCTGCGCTCTTATATTAGTTTTGATTATGTTTAGTTTCAATGTAGACCTTTTTCCACGGTTTCTAGTATTAATATTAATAAGGAATTGCTTTTTCTTGATTCCAATTTTATTTTATTTTAAATTTTGGATGCTTTAATTTATGTTAGCGTAAATCCATAATGTACGCGTTCCTAAGATCCATACTATATTATCCTTTATGACTATCTTTATATCCTTTATGACTAATAGAAAATTAGAAGAGGATAAGGACATATAGATAAGAAACTGAATTCTAAGTAAAAACTAACTTCTAAAATGAATCAACCAATAATATCGGTACAGTTTTCTGTAATTACTTTGCAAAAAAGAGCTGTCATATTTTTAATTTAAATTAAATATCCTACCATGAAATATTTTATTTTCTATAATAGAATCTCTTTTATTCGAGCTAACTAAAGCGCATCGAATTCGGATGGCCTTTGATTAACCATTTTTTAGCAATTTAAAGGTAGAAATACCTGCTTGCCACATTGTTAAGCAAAAGTATTTATTTCAATGCTACTTTTATATATCTCTTATATACTCTTATTTTTCAAAGTAATGAGCAATATTTTTGAGTTTTCTTCTCGCAAAGTTTACAAACAATAGCGTGGTATTCTTGCCGCACTGTAATATGAACCAACTATAAATTCCAAGTTACCTTCTTTCTGGCCAATACAGATTTCACATTTCTCTATTTCTTCAATACGGCGTCTTAAGATCACTTACTTTTTTATCATAAACTATTTCCTTACATCTAAAATATGTGACTGTGAAAAAAGTTTATTATTAAAAATTGAAATTAATAGGATTCAGGATCCATTGTTACTTTTCTCCACATTATTTACTAATCTGGATTGCGATTAAGAGAAGTTCAGTTAAGTAGGACTTCACTGCTTTTATATTATAATGCTTAAAGATAATAAGTTTGTAAACCGCACATTATGCTGTTTGCTTGTTGAACCAATCTCAGAGCATTGTAACATAAGCAAACAGCATAATGCGCTATTTAATACAGAAATTCATATAAACGCACAAACATGGCCACAATGGAACCCAGCACAAAATCGAAGCCAGTTTAAAGAACATTGATAGTTTGGATGTCATTTACCTGGTTTAATCGCTCCTCACTATCCTGTTACAAAAATTCATTCACAGACATTCGAGTGCAGGTCGACTTCACCGTTCAAAGCTTGGCGATTAATAGAATGCTCGTTAGCAAAGCACTTTTAAAAGACTGCAGGGATTTTGCGTAACATCCATTGCGCAAATAGCAGCTCTTTAAAACTACTGAACTATTCGAATCCGGTTTCGGGATGGGTTTTGGATTCGTGAGGAGATTACAAAAACATTGTAGTACGTTCCTGGGCTTATACAAAAGAGAATAGCTTTGACATTCAAAGTAATGAGTGTGAACTGGCCACCTGTTCTTTGTTTTGTTTTCTGTTTTCAAGGCGGTCGGGTCTTGCGCTGATGCCATTAAGTAATTATGACGTCATGACGTGTCGTTTAAATGCGCTCGCACAGGTAATGGATTTCAGTGACGGATGAAATTCTTGAAACCAAATGGTCGATTCTAAAATGAAACTGGAATCATATGGAGAAACAGATTTTACGTACGGTTTTGAGATATATGTAGAATCGTTTCATGTGTAAAAAACTTGCACTGGTTAATAAATCATGATAATTTAATCAAGGGAATTCAAATTACTTTTATAGTGAAACTCCTAATTGAGACACTGTATATTAGGATACTCGAAAAATTCAAATATGTGAATTTTCTTTCTCATCTCTCTCGCAATCCAAAAACGTATTTATTGCCATATAAGTGAGGAAATTTTACTTTTCATTTCAATAAAGATATGAACTTAAAAAAAAAAAAAAAAAAAAAAAAAAAAAAAAAAAAAAAAAAAGATTCCTTAAACAAACTATAAAACACCATTTGCTTTGATATATATATATATATACTTAAATATAAATCTCTCTCTCTCTGTATATATATATAATATATATATATATAGAATGCAATTACTTTTCTTTTACTTTTTAAATGATATATGTTTGGCAATTGCTGCTGGGCACTGTTGTAAGTAGTGTCTAAATTTATTTTATTAGCTTGTAGGGTTTATATTTATTTTAACTAACATTTATTTTAAGTTTAAGCTATCTTTCCTGTCAAGCCTTTACTTTCCCCTAGAATTGCCAATGCCAGAGTATGTAAATTAGTAGAACGCACAGAGTATTCAAATTTTAGCAGAAGTAAATTAAGTTTAAATAGAAGGGAAACGAGATTGTAAGTGTGCTTCTTGAATCGCGAGCGTGAAGGTTGCTAGGTAGAAATTTTAAGAACCGCGCGTTTCGGCCTGTGTGCCTATTTCGGCAGTTCGTTGAATCTTTCAACTTCTTAAACAGTAAGTTTGCTGAATCTCAGCTGTATCTTAGAACGCGGTTAAGTTAGTTACGATTATAGAGCCTCGTAGATAGTGACTTCGTTATTTATTCATCCTGTCATTTATTTTTAGTTGTATTTTTCTATTTGGTTTAACCGCCGGGTCGGCGTAGTTCGTGAGCGTCAAGTGAACGCAACTGTGATTTCTAAAGTGAAATAAAAAGAGATTTAAACCCTTCTTACGAGTTTGTATAATTTACAGTTCATAGCAGTCGCTACTACTGTTGCGGACAAGTTGGGGCCACGCAACATCATAAGCTCTTCAAAAAGTATTTATAGTTCTGTAATATTTTTAATATTACCTTATTTATTCGCCTCTTTCCGATAGTTTTGTCCCCTAGCGTTTTTAGCACAATGTTCTTAAATGTTTTTAAGTAATCACGTAATTTTCTTTCCTCAAGGTAGTTAAAGACTATATCCGAAAGTTTTTATAACGAGTGGATGGCAGCAGAGTCCTGCAGTTTGACCGGAACCGTAAAAAACCAGAGATCTTCCACTGAAATGATTTATTTGTGAATTTCGGGTCTATGGGATCTGATTGATGAAGCAATAGTAGTGAACAGTTTCAAGAAAATATTTAATGCTCTTGATGGTTCTCTAGATCACTGCCATGTGGGAAGACAGTGACGAAGACGATTACAACAACGATGATAGCGATGACTTCCAAGCTTTATCAGACGAATAGAGGCAGTAGATAATTGATAATGTAGGGATCATTAAATGACTTGAGGCCTAAAGAGTAGCAGTGGACAACAATAGGAGCTGGCGAGATTCAAGCTACAGGGAAGTGCAAATATCTTATTAGATAATTTAATGTTAATAAAACTATGTTAATTTAATGTTAATATAATTAAAATGGCAGTTTCTTTTAAATAAATAATATTGATACTGTTTCGTGGAGGATTAAAAATAGTTGCGTGAAAAGGTTATTCCCATAGCATCAACAAGTCATTGATAAGATTTATGAATATTTTTGCTCTTAGTGTAACAAATTACGAGTGTATCTTTCCCCTCTCGATTTTCATTCGATGAAATTACTAAAATAAGGGGGGGAATACTCGAGTAAATACGGTATTTCAATCAAAGAAAAATCAAAAATAAATATGTAAATATATAAATAACAAACTGTATTAGTTTATTCTAATTAACCGGGTTATCTTACTTTGGCTTCACTATTGCTTTGTCAACTTCCACCATAACGCAAATTCGTTTAAGTATAAATAAGCATCCATTTTCCAAGATTTTCATATAGGGTATGATGGTATAAGTTGGTTTTCACTCTCTTTTAGTTTTCCTGTTGTTGAAATTTATCTTGTCGACTTAAGTTTTCTAGTAGCTGCAATTTTTGACGTTTAGATTAGTTATGTTATTTTGTACTTAATATTCGATTTAATTTGATTACCCGCAAGCTAGTGGAGATAAGTTTCTGTTAAACTTTTAGTGTGCGTAAACGTCAGGTGGCATGTTAATAAGTAGTTCTGCTTTCGTTTTAGTCATTTGACAGTCTCTTACGGTTACTCAGAAGTGAGTTGGCATTTGAAAATTAGTAGTAATAGCTATTAATTTAATTTAGCCTAGAAAGAGTTTAATTTTATTTAGCTTAGAAGTCTATTAATGACAAGCTTAATTTTACTTTTTTATTTGGTCTAGAAGCAATCTTTATGATTGAAGTTCCGAATGACTGAAATTCGAATAAATAATTAAAAGAATATGCTTGAACCTATACAGATATTTTAATTCCGGCAAGATATGGAATTAGAAATTGTGGGCTTGCAATTGGACTGGACTGGACGTCGTCTGGGTCAACTTCTGCTCGAGGTGTTAGCCAGAAAAAATTGTTAATTACTCGGCGATTTAAACTACTGGAATTATTAAAATGTTTCGTGTTATTGAATCAACCGAGTAAAAAAAAAAGTATATGTAAATATTGCAATATACAATGGTACACATAAAACAGAGTGATATACAACATTTAGCGCTTGAATTGGATAAATGACATTTGTATGCTGCTTCGTACTGTGAAACGCGCCACCATGATAATAGTAACATTGTATTTCAATGTATGTTAAGATGATGCTTTAGAAAAAGATATCGGTGTTACAATACTTCTGCTTATTGTATAATATTACTGTAATTAATGACAGGAATTTTTTATGATTAATTACTGATACATGATGATACATATCGCAGCTACAGGGCTGTGAGAATAAACGACAGAATTTATCTGTGCATACAACTACAATAGACATGTGTGATCGCTACAATAGAAAATTCTCTCAGAGGAGACTAAATAAATTCATTGCTTAGATACATTCATTACATTACATATGATTCAGGGAGAAAATTTGGCTTTCCGAAAAATGGTAAAGGAAATCGATAAAGTCATTATGTAGCTTGCTAAAATGTAAAACTGGCAACGAAACTGAAATAGTCATTCTGATATGGATGTAGTTAGGTAGGTAGGTGATTGAGGGCAGAGACGCCTGATGTATAACATAGGTAAACAGTCATGTGCTCTGCGTCCTCTCAGGGCCGCATCGGGAGTTTATTAGTTATAAACGAAAATGCATACATTGCCATACAAGGGCGCATTTGACATATTCGTTGTACATTGCTATGTTTTTGACATGCGTTCAGATGATGATGGACATATACATACATAACATGTATACATAACATATAAATAATAGACATACAATTAAACATATAAATAAACGCATAAATAAACATAAATTACACATTTAAAGAAGTTGAAACACTTGTTACAAATATTAACATACATAAATGAAGTATAACAAAAATAAAATAAAATAAAAATAAAAATAGAAAGAACAGACACAATAATATAATAGCATAAAAATAACTAATTATGTATAAAATAACTAATTTTTAAATACAAATAACACATAAATAGTCATAAGACTTTCAGCAAAATATGTAAGCACAGAGTATAATTATAATAAATGAAAATAACATGATGGATGTGTGTATACTAATGATTGATTGGGTATTACAATTGGCATTATTATGGTTAGCAGAGATCTTGTCCAAGTCAGCTATTGTGTCGATTACTTTACAGATTTTATTTACAGCTTTATTCTTTTTTAAGAAGATAAACTTTCCTATTATTAGATGGCAGTGGCAGATGAAGGTTTGTTGTAATAGGACATGCAAATAAGTAGTGGTCAGGCATACCATTTTGTCCACAGACTCATAAATCTGTTGTTGAAAGTCCATGTTTATAGGAGTATAATGGAAACGGGCCATGCACTGTGGTAAAGTTGGTGAGTGGTGCTGTAGCTATAAGTCGTTCTATTGTAACATTTGGTAAAAGATCATATGTACACCTGCCCGTCTCGCCTTCGATCCATTCTCGTGGCCATTGTTGTAGAGCCTTTGTTTTTAGAGCTGTTTTTAAATATGAAGAAGGAGCAGGAATTGTAATTTTCTGTGCATTATGGTTGTTAGCAGCAACTTTGGCAAGTAGATCTGCTGCCTTGTTACCAGTATTGGCAACATGTGCTTTAACCCATATCATATTTATATGAGATTGTGAATAGCGTTTTTCATTACCGTCATTTGTTAATTTCTAATAACAATGGTATCACAACCAGCCAACAAGTTCGGGGCCGTCCACAGGGTTCCTGCGCAGGACCCCTATTATGGAATATTACGTTTAATGCAGTATTAAACACTGAATGGTCTTCACACACAACAGTCATAGCGTATGCTGATGACGCATCGCTCCTGGTACAAGGGTGTCCTCGCGATGAACTTGAAAAGCATGGCACTGAAGTTTGTACACTATTTGCCAAATTATGCAACAGCTCAAATTAACAATTTCAATCGGAAAATCAATGGCACTAATAATTCCAAGACCAAGTACCAAACCTAAGAGAAAACCATGTATTAAGCTAGAAGGAAAGAATAT